TTTCTAAAGGATTTTTTAAAACATACTTTTAAAAAATATTTTTTGAAATTATAGTTACCGACTATGTTATTGATAAATTAATATTAATAATATTATTAAAATCTTTATAGATAAACTAATATCACGTCTAATTTATATATTTTAGTTACTAAAATTTATATTTACATAATATATTTCCAATTTTATCATATGTCTCTAAAAGGACCATATCATATATTTCTAATTAACCTTCTAAAATATTTATATCAAATATATAATATATTTGTATTTATTTGAAAGTATACTAATTTACATTTGGTAAATTAATATTTTTCCTATAACTATTCAATAATGAAAGTTATAATTTATATAACTTAAATGTGTAAAATATTATATAACTTTATCAATATTAATTTATTTATAATACTCTTTTCGGTCCTTTTTTTTTATAAGAAACAAGTAACTAATTTATCAAAATCTTAAGATAGTTAATTCTCATTAATAATGTCAAAGAATTAAATTTTATTCCAAAAACAATCTTTCAATTGATTGGTTTAAATAACAATTTTATTAAATGACACTACACCTAATTAAAGTGGTAGTTTTTTTCACCTATTAGAACAAATGATGAATCAAGCCTCTCATAAGTTATGTTTTACTGTTAACAAACATAAGTATTTTTGTAAAGCACAAAATGATCATACGCTAAAGATGATGACCTAAATCACATATTAAGACAATAAAACATGATGAATATGCATGCTATCTTATCAGACTGAAAATATTATTTGTCTAAGATGAATGCTTTAAATATTACATTTAATATATCTGATGTTTATATCATTTGTTTTCATTAAATACCTTAACAAATTGAAGGAACTAAAACTTCTTTAGTACTCACAATGCATAAAGGAATGAAGATTTGTTTTTTGCCAAAAAAAAAAAAAGAACAAGCAAATATCTTAAAGTATGCAATGTTAGCCAAAAGTTGTTTTCAACTAACACACGCTACTATTCCCTTCCCTTTGTACCTTAATAGGTGATAAGCAACATCCTTGATCAGATAAGAAGTAACTATTTGATAAAATGCATTTGATGTAAACATTTATCACATCAATAGATACATTGCACAAGGAAGTAAGACGAAGTAAGTTGACGAATGTAACTAAAGGATTCGCAACAATCATCTTCAAAATTGTCTAAATAAAGCAGTTTGAACAACTTAGAGAAAAAGAGTGATACGATCCAAACCATGGAAAGAAATTAACTAATCATTGTTGCAACCCAAAAATTTATTTCTGATCTCGGGACCTATGGTTTAGACATCCTTTTGAAAGTCTCATCAATTAAGGAATGCTCGGACACCAGACTAATCTCTAATTAATGGTTTTGAAAATAGGTTCATGGAGTTGTCACCAATGTTTTACTCAAAACATTGGAAAAAGAAAAGGATTTTAAAAGTCCAATAATGGCCTTGATAACTAGAATTGGGTTCGGGAGTCGGTTACATGTAGGCAAGGTATTAAGCACCCCTACAACGCCCTAAATCGGTACCCTATGATGAAGATAACGTAATAAGAATTAATAATTTAAATATTTAATCCCCTTTATTAATGATTATTTACATGAAAATTAAATTACACGATGAACCCTAAGATATCTACATGATTGCGTTTATTATAACAATATATGAAATAAAAGAACAGAAAGATAGAACAAAAGATTGATGAGTAATACCTCGTAGCAAGCTTTATTATATCTTCAACTATGGAGATTTTAGGTGCTTTGCGGCAACCTTTCACACTTCAATATGCTTCACAAAACTCAAGAAATACAATAGGAGAGAGAGAGAAAAAAATTTCAAGCTCTAAGGAGTCTTGGACGAAATTTTTTAGGCCCTGAGAACTGTGCCCGAGCTGTCTATTTATAGGCATTAGAAGGGAGCCAGAACGGCCCGTTCCGGATTCGGAACGACCCATTCTAGGCTAGTCTGTTATGGGTAAAATAAGAATCTGGAACGGCCCGTTCCAAAAGTGGAACGGTCCATTCTAGGTTCGAATTTTACTTACAACAAGCTATTCTGGAATGGCCCGTTCTAAACTAGGGTTTTAGGCCCATTTGATGATTTGGAACGACCCGTATCCGATTTAGAACGGCCCGTTTTGGGCAAGTCTATTATGGGTAAAATAAGAATATGGAACAGCTCGTTCCTAAAGCGGCATGACCCGTTCTGGGTTCAAATCTTGCTTATAACAACCTGTCCTAGAACGGGTTATTCTATTTTGGGAACAGCCCATTCCGGTCTTGGGAACTGCCCGTTTCGGTCTTGGAACAGCCTGTTCTAGGTTACTAAAACCATCTTATTTAGGCTTTATGTCTTCTGATGTCATGTCCTATTATTTTCATGCTTCGGGAGCTCCTTTCCTTGATAATAGACTCTATTTCATTGCTTTTGTGAGCCCGGACGAAATTGGTTGTCAACAGCTACCCCTCTTTACTTGTCCTTTGAAATAGCTATGTGTTGCTTTTCCAAAGGCAAGTAAAGACGTAGACATTTTGTCCTGGTCTTCTCTTCGTCTCTTTGGTGCTGGCACTTCTGCATTACTTCCCTTGGATAGGTGTACTTGCTCGTATCTTCACCCTTTAGAGAAGTTGAGTGTTGGTTGCGTACTCTATTGGGTAACAAGGCTGACAAACTGTACACCTGATCTTCAGTTTTCGAGTAGAAGGTCCATTATTTCTCTTGTGATATTGTGTCCCTTAATTTGTAGCTTATTTAAGAGGGAGTATTTTCGTAGCCTCTCCAGGCTGTAGGATTTTCATAGCCTCTCCGGGCTGGAGTATTTTCATAGCCTCTCCGGGCTGGAGTATTTTCATAGCCTCTCCGGGCTGGAGTATTTTCATAGCCTCTCCGGGCTGGAGTATTTTCATAGCCTCTCCGGGCTGGAGTATTTTCATAGCCTCTCCGGGCTGGAGTATTTTCATAGCCTCTCCGGGCTGGAGTATTTTCATAGCCTCTCCAGGCTGTAGTATTTTCATAGCCTCTCTAGGCTATCTGCTGGTGCTGATGATGTGATTTTCCCTTTTCTTTGGGGAGGACATCTGATGAAGATAAGGATTGTTGGTAGGTGGTGCCCTTGTGCTGGTGGGTAAATGCGTAGATGGGTGACAAAAATTCTGGTGTTTCCCCTGTCATGTGAGTATTGTCATGCCTCTCCAGGCGTCTGCTTGTGGTAGGTTTTTTTTCTTTTTCTGAATTTCATTTTTTAGCTTCAACTTTTTCATGTTTGAAACTTGCCTTTTTCTGCTATCATTTTTTTGAATGCTTCAGCTTTTTTTTTTTC